CCCCCCCCCCCCCCCCCCGCGGGTCTGTTGCAGGCTGGGACCTGGAAAGTCCGCTTTTGGGGAGCTGGGATCCCTGACGGGGTCCGCGCTGTTCTCCACCTCGGCAGAGTTAGTCGCGCTTGGGAGGAGTTTCCGCGGGTGGCGTTTAGGCTTAGTTTGCTAAGGATCGTAGGATTTGGGTCTCCGTTTAGCAAGCAGAGGGGGAGTCTTCGCGCGGTTCAGACCAGGCTCGGCTTCCCACGCCGTGGTGACTGGGGAGAACTGAAGTTGTAGTCCGACGGGCGTAGATCTGAGCTCTGCGGCTTAGGAGCAGCCTTTACGCGCCCGGCGCTTCGGTCTTCACCTCCCAGCCAGCGGGATCGTTGTGGTCTGGGGTCCAACCCAGCTGGGAGATTGCAAGAGAAAATGGGCTCTGTAGTCCCTTTTCATGTGGGGGGAATAGAATTAGGGGATGCCGTGGCACAAACGATGGTGACCTCGGAAAGAAGGCCCGTCGGAATTGGCCCTCGTACTCCTGCGGATGTAGGAGTAAGTAGCACGGAGTTCTCCGGAACTTACTTCTGAGCATGCCGAGGGGTGTGGGTGTGCCTGCTCCGGAGCAGGTAGAACCAGGAGTAAGCTTCAAGGGCAGTGTAAGTTGTCCCCGTGTTTGTCATTCAATTTCAGTAACTATTCAGAGTATGTACGTGACATTTTAGAAGTGAATGTTCTGCTCTCCTGTTTGAGCATTCATAGAGGCATCTATGTAATGCAATCTGGATTAATTAAGCCAGTGTAAAGCGGTGTCACTTTGGTGTGTCATCGGTGTGCTTGGAGTATCCACAGGGTATGGTCCGAAGAGTCTGTATGGTGGCCACAAGGGTGCAATTGAAGGTCCTTTTTTTTTACGTGCACACAGGTATGGGAAGAAAAACTGGGTTTTACGCATTAGAATACAGTGTAGTAAAATCTACTAATTGGGTTTATGTTCGCTGAACCAAGTTCTGCTGTTTTTAAACAGGCTTCCTAAATCGGATGCCTTCAAAAGCGTGGGGCTATAACTCCTGCAGTTCTCAGCCT